AGGAGGAGGAGGAGGAGGAGGGGAGGACGGACGCCCCAGTGTACGTTGCCATGGCAACTAGGGCAAACCAAGCTGTGAACTGCATACTTTCGAATCTGTGGGAATTTAAAAAATTATTAGCTATTATCATTATTATTATTATTATCATCATCATCATCATGTGTCTTTCATAACTGAAGGAAAAAGAAATGCTCAGTATTTTTCACAATGAAACTTTCAATTTCATAAAACTTTCTCATAATACTATATTTTGGCCGCTGATTGTCATTTGTTTTATTTTCATTGCTTTTAGCGAAGCTTTTTTACACCTCCATCGACACTGTTTGAGTAATTTAACAGGCGTGCTTCAATTTTACCTGCCATTGCCAAACGCCACTGAGGAGAGGGATACAATATCCCAGCAGATAGACATTGGATTGGGGGAAAGGGGGGGGGGTGACTCGGGATTCGAACTCGGTTCTCCTGCACGCGACAGCCACCAAGCGCCTCGTGGCGTAGATTATCAATAGGTTAAGGTGTTCGCCTCTCTTTCAATATGTCCCAGGTTCGAATACGGATAGCCACTGAAAATTTTCTTTTCTAAAATGTTCTCCTTTCCCATCCTTTCCCGCTCTATAACAATGATATGTCGTCTGGTTTCGTCTCCACTTTCTGCCCGAACCCCTCATCACCTTTGTCCCCTCCTCTGGGCTCCTAGCTCTTTCTCCAGTCTTTCTACTGCTACTCCTTGTCTTCATCTTACTGCTGTCTTTCCGCCACACCACTGATCTTACGGTAGGTAATATCTAATACCTAGTCTTCTCGGATACGTGCACATAATTTGGAAGGCCCGTTTGCAAATTGTGCACGCTGTTAAAGATCCCGTCCAAAATCGCAAAGAAGAGTAGGCTTCAGCCACCACCCGGGCAAGATAATATTGGCGATATTGAAATGTGCATCGATCTTTGATAGAACTTTGGGAGGGTGTAAAAAATCGAAAATTCTCAGAATTTGGACAAATGGATTTCTTGCAACAGCGCGGTGATCGTAATTCCTGTTCACTATGAGATAGTGACATATGTGATGGGACACAGTGGAATTAGGCGCTCGTCAATTTTTAGGTATAAGGAGTTATTTGGTAACATCTTAAAGCTTGTTTATTTGTCTTGCTTTTGGGAAAAAATACCCATCTGACTTGAATAGGGGTTGGGATATTTGCAATTGACAGAGGTGGGGTCCCCTGATTTCTGGGGTAAAATTAGCGAAAAAATGGCCTCCAAAGTTCCGTCACTTTCAAATCTTGAGAGACCTTGGAAACTGAAAATAAAATTTTGTGTGCCATGACTCGACGTTTTCCCGGTGATTTCTACAGAGATACATCTTTTTAAATGGATATAAAAGGTGTTGAGTCTAAAAGCAAAAATTCAATAAAGATTACCAAACAGGAGGAAAAGTGACAGTTTCTTCGATTTAATTATTTTGACGAGCGCCTGATTTCACCAGGACATACCAGTGGCGCCCTCCAACAACCCGCGGTTTACTTCCCTGTGTGTTTGTGTGTATGTGTGTGTGTGTGTGTGTGTGTGTGTGTGCGCGCGCGCGCGCGCATGTGCGTGTGTTTGTATGCGTGTATGTGTGTGTGTGTGTGTGTGTGTGTGTGTGTGTGTGTGTGTGTGTGTATTTCTGATGGGAGGAGGGGGGGAGGGGAGACAAGAATTTTAAGAATTTTAACTCTTTGATGAGGTAGCAGACGCCTATGTCCGACCATCAAAGGAAATGGTGCTGCACATTCTGAATCAAAATACACAAATCAGAGACGTGGATTTACATAGTATGTCATTGTATTCATCTTTGTTTGCTTGTTGGGGTTTTTTTTTGTTTTTTTGCTTGTCTCATTAAAGTTTTAGACAACTACAAAACAGGGCGTCCTCAATAAGTTAAAGGACTATTAATTACTGATAATTAAGCTACATAAAACAAATAGTCTACGGTACTCACGGTCACAACGCGAAGGCTCAGGCTGTTACTAAAACTTGTTTTCTGTCTCAAAGTCAAAGTTGTACCTGGTGAACTATCAAGGAAAACACATTATGGTCGACTTATATACCTTGCCCGGGTTGTTGTTTTTGTTTTTGTCTTTGTTTTTGGGTTTGTTTGGGTTTGTTCTTTCATCAGGCGACAACTCGTGTTTGTTTCACAATCAGTGAGTGCGAGACCCTCTCGATCGCATCACACTTGAAGTCCTGTATCTGTCATAAACTGGGCCGTCCTGCTCAGTTCATCTGTCGGCCTGTATTAGTGCTGGGCAGCTAGGTTCCCGATTATTGAAAGCTAGGAATCGTAGGAATCGACTCAAAACCCAATTACTTACTTTCTAATGACGTGATTTCTTCCGGTGGTTACCTGGTTGGCTCCGAACATCTTCAGGATTTAGGATAACTTTGATTTTGGAATACTATGAAGCATCAACTTTTATTTTTCAAAAAGTATTATATTCTGGAAAAAAAAAAAAAGATTTTCATGATAAAAGTAACTTGTTACCGTTGGTTTACGTAAAAAGGAGACGGAACTTTACTTCCGTAGTATTAATCGTGGGAATCGGTTCCGGAATCGACTCTTCGCCCAGCTCTAGCCCGTATAGCTTCTCTTGTGTTATGGTGAATGGTGTCAGGTCAGTGCGAGACGATAACTCTACACACTACATACAAGCAGCTGCTAAGTAGTTGTCGTCAATCTGTTGTATTGTAGGTAAGTGTTTTATCTCCATGTATCTGTACTGCGTCCTCGTGACTAGCCCAGTTTCATCAGCATTGCGTTGAGAGGAAAAAGAAGCTCTTGCACCCTCAAGAGAACCAATACACAAAAATAAACAAACACACAAGCACGTACACACGCC